ATTAAACACAAATTCAACCTCTGATCATCCCACAATTTACATGCTTAGCATACGGCAGAACCATTTACTCTTTCGAACCAGATTCTGGTAGCTTAATATCAATTCATCATCTAGCTAATTACGTCATCCGAACTTAAAGTCCTCTCATGCAAGTCCAGAGCTTGCTTATATTACCACTGGTTATCCATTTTATAGTCCAGAAATTTACCTTACTAGGTGCTCACTCACTCGACAGAACGCTGAAGTCTATCCCTTTCTCTCGGCTCTTCTCCTCAAACACGGGTAAGTTGGTTCTGGTTGGGTTGTAGTGGGTGCAGCTGGTGATGGTGGAAGCTGGATGACTACCGGCTGAGCTTGGGAAATGCAGAGGAAAGTCTGCTCACGACTCCTCCTCCTCTCCTCCCTCTTCGATGCTTGCGGACAGAACCAGAAATGGAATCGCAACTCTCAGCTTCCTTCCTCACTCTCGGCTTTATGGAGCAGCTCGACCTCTCCCTCACTCTCGGTCGATGATAACAATGTAATGGTGGAGTGTGGCCTGAGGTGAAAGGTTGCAGAAGCTATAGAGTGGAGGTAGAGTGTTGGTGAGGGTTGAGTGCGCAGTTGGTGAAGATGCCGGTTGGTCAGCTAGGGTGGTGGTGTGTTGAAGTGGTGAAGGATGCGGTTGGCCGGCTGGGGTGGTGGCTAATCATGCTGTCCGAGGAGTTGTTTGGCCGTGCATGGAATGGTTGTGGTGTAGTGGGGATTTGGTGAATTGCGAAGGGCATTTTGGTCCTTTCACTTTGCCCCCTAACCTCTTCGTAAATCTCAACTCTACCTTAATTCAACAATTGTCCCCAAGTGTGATTTAATGGCCTAATTATACGTTAGTATACTTAAACTGTTTTATTGAATTTTTATCGGTTACTATTTAGTATTAAGGTTCCTAACATTCTTACTTTATTAATTTAGCTTATTAAAATCAAGTTTGACCTTGTTGTATAAGTCTAACCTTTAACATTAGCACTTATTGGAATTAATCATTAAAATTCGAGCAATTGGTTTTAAGATAGTAAGGTTATCGATTCAAGTGTCCTTAATTTTTGAATCAAAGAATTTAAGTATTCTAACATTTTATTTTAGGACGAAGATTTAATCTAAAGAAACCAGGAAATTTCATGACTTAAGAAAATTATATTTTGCTTCACATGAACCTATTTTTATGTTCTTAAATGCGAACAAGTAAAAGTAATGCTCGGAATTATAAGGGAATAAAAGAAATGCCAACAAACTATGCACTGGCTTATATTTCTATTTTCAGGGTTCTCACAACCCAGGTGTAATTTTCATCCAACACTTTCGAATACTAAACAACAACAATCTCCAATGCACTCAGGAACAGAAAGTAAGCATACAGATCTCCAAGATAGTCATCACTCTATACAAATTTCCAAGATAGTAGTGAAGAATCATGCGGATACAAACGAAACATGAATCGAGAGAACAATAGTTACCTTCAACCCGAGTCTGATGCACCGTGAAGATGCTCCCCAGAAAAAGTTCTAACTTTGGGAAAAAGCCCTTCTAGGTTGCTCTTTTCCTTCCGTTGATTTTCCGTCTCCAACCTCCTTTTTCGAATCCCCTTAGTTGCAGCGCTCTCCTTCCTTGCCCACAAACTATCGATGCTTTTCTACCTCTTAGCCCCTTTTTTTTCTTTCTTTCTCAGCTCCGCTCTTTCTATCTCACCCAGCTCTCTTTTCCTCAAAACCTCACCGTCCTCCTCTCTATCAGACTCTCCCTGGTCCAACCCCTCCTCCCTCCTTTCTTGGCTGCGGCTCTCCTTTTATATGCCCACTCAAATCCTTAAACCCTCACATCAATGGTGTTGATGAAAGATCAGTTTCTTGGGGATCTTTTGACCCTTAGATCAAACCAAGTGGCTTGTTGTTCGAATGATCGAACGGAAGAGAAAAAATGGAGCTCCAAATTTTGTATCTGCGTTTTTTGCAGATGAAAATGTAGAGGAGTTTTGATTGTATGCTTCTCGGGTGCATAAGCTCTTTTTTTTTTTAGTGATGATTTTCCCTTTTCTTTTCCTTTTTTTTAATTAAATAACAACGAACTTGAATCTAAAATAACTAAAACATATTTTTGTGAATGATTTTCTTTTTTCCGATAAATTCTATGCTAAAATGACTTAAAAATAAAAATAAAAGACTAAAAAAAATAATAGTAAATAAAACTACACTAAAATTTGGTGTCTACAGTTTGCCCCTCTTTGTCTGAGTTTTGGAAAAACTTGAGACAAAGAATTAGACACCAAATACTCACCTGTGTTATTTGGCTGCGAACGACTTGAACGATGGACGCTTTAGAAATGGGGACTGACCTCTTTTGACTAAATTTTAAAATGGGACTGACCCGAACAAGAAATTTAAAATCGGGACTGACCCGAAACAAGAAATTTAAAATCGGGACTGACCCGAGACAAGGAAATTTAAAATCAGGACTGACTCGAAACAGAAAATTTAAAATCGGGATTGACCCGAAATAGAAAATTCAAAATCAGGACTGACCCGAGACAAGGAAATTTAAAATCGGAACTGAGCCAAGACAGGAAATTTAAAATCGGGACTGACCCCAACAGAAATTTAAAATCGGGTCTGACCCGAAACAGGAAATTTAAAATCGGGACTGACCCGAAACAGTAAATTTAAAATCGGGATTGACCCAAGACAAGGAAATTTAAAATCGGAACTGACCCGAAACAGGAAATTTAAAATCGGGACTGACCCGAAACAGGAAATTTAAAATCGGAAAATTCCAATATACTTACCTGAAAATAGCCCAAAATTTTCAGTAGAGGTTAAGTTCTTGCCTCTAAGCCGATGGTTGATTCTGCATTGTCATATTGTTGTACCTTGTGATCAAATTTGCTTGCAACATTTTCGATCCGCCTTTGTTCACTGGAGCAATCTTTCCGACACCGATTCCAGTGCGATGTGTGATTGCTTTCATCTGTGCATGCAATTTTCTGCAAAAAAGAAAATACAAAGAAATTGCCACCATCATTTGATCCGTTTTCTTTTGAGAATCGTGTAATCATGAGTTTTTTCTCTTTTTCCTTTTCCTGCTTCACCAACTTTCGCTACGGCATCCGATTGAATTGGATTTCTCACTCCAAAACTTTTTCGATTTTCAAACTGACTAGGTATGTGTTTTGCCATGTTGTGAAGTTTGTATAGCTGGCTTTGCTGAATTTCAACCGTTTTCAAAAGATGACTGAATCCAAGCATGCTTTTGAAATAAACCACGGGGATTGTTATTCACCAAAATTCAATGATTAAAAAAAATGAGGTATGCAAGATAATTCACATGTCATGCAGGAATGAATATGCACAAGAATGCAAACACAACCATTTGTACTTAAAACCTACAAAATGTCATGAATGCAAGCAATTTTGGAAAAAAAATGAGCTTTCTAAGAATGTATTTGCAAAGGAATATATATATTTACAAAATGACACAGTTTTTGACCAACAGATGTCATATTCGAATCTCCGGATATTTTTGTTCTGAAATTCAACATTGGCAGAAGTATTACAAAACGAAGAGAAATCCAAATGAACCAAGTCACCAGCTGTTCCTCCTCGTGCTCGCTAATTGCAGAACCCTACCTTGGCGCCCTTTTGGGTTTTCACCAAGATTGACCCCACCCTTGTTTTTTTTCTTTTTTCCTTTTATTTTTGTTTTTCTCTTTTCCTTTCTCTTTTTTCCTTTTTTCCCTCTTTCTCTTTTTTTTGTTTGTTTTTTTTTTTTTTTTTTTTTTTTTTTTTTGAGGTGCCCTTTCGGATTTTCACCTAAGGAACAACGGACAATCTCGACCATGATCGACTCAAGAATGTTAGTTGAAAATTGTTAGCATCAGTAAAATGCGCTTCCCTTATAAGCTTAGGCAAAGGCATTGTGGACATCACTTGCCAGTTGATTAGCGAACTTTCTAATAGAAATACAGCAAGTGACGAAAGCCAGGACTTTCGGCTTTTGCAATGAGGTCAGGTGGGGTGTTTTCAAGAAAGTTGAGGCTTGAAAGCAAAAACTTTTTAATGAAAAGTGTGAAATAACCTGAGATTGCATCATTTTGAAATCATCTCCAATTTGAACGAAACTGAGGAAAATTTGCCCCAGTTTGATTGGGATTTTTCTCTCTTTGCATTTTCCATTGCATTTTCCTCACTTTTGCATTTTTCTTTTAAAAACTAAATTTGCCCCTGTGTGGGGTTCTTTCTTCTTTTTTCTTTTCCATCTCTCTTTCAAAATAAATTTGCCCCAGTGTGGGGTTTTCCTTTTCTCTCTGATCATCTATTTTCAAAATAAAATTGCTCCCAGTGTGGGGCTTTTCTTTTCCTTTTCCTCTTTTGGATCATCTTTCTTTCAAAATAAATTTGCCCCAGTATGGGGTTTGCAATTCTCAGGGGCTGTCAAACGAAAATTATTGTTTTGATATCTCAAAGGGGATGACTAGGGATTAAATGTTTTAATTGGAAAGGAAGATGGCCTGACTTTTGTCTCGTCACTTGCGTGACTTCTAAAAGAAATTTACATAATCAAATAAAGAACTTCTTACACATGTCTGAGTTGATAGGTTGAGGGAATGTCTGTCCATCCATCTCTGCCAAAATGAATGCTCCGCCAGGTAACACCTTTTGAATAATGAATGGCCCTTGCCAATTTGGAGCAAATTTGCCTTTGGCCTCATCCTGTACTGGCAAAATTCGTTTTAGCACTTTGTCGCCTTCCTCAAATGGACGCAAATGGACTTTCTTGTTGTAGGCCCGGGCCATGCATTTTTGGTAACATTGGCCATGACAAATAGCATTAAGCCATTTTTCATCAATCAAGGACAGTTGTTCATAACGCTGCTTTATCCAATCAGGCTCTTCCAACTTGGTCTCCATTAGAATACACAATGAAGGAATTTCGACCTCGGCAGGTAGCACAGCTTCCATTCCATACATGAGCTAGTAGGGGGTTGCCCCAGTTGATGTTCGGATAGAAGTCCGATATGCCATTAGTGCATAAGGGAGCTTTTCATGCCAGTCACGATGCTTTTCAGTCATCTTGCGAATGATCTTCTTCAAATTCTTGTTTGCGGCCTCCACGGCTCCGTTCATCTGCGGTCTATAGATGGCAGAGTTACGATATCTGATTTTGAACTGTTCGCATAGCCCGTCCACTATATCATTGTTGAGATTCTTGGCATTGTCTGTAATCAATGTTTCTGGCACCCCAAATCGGCATATGATGTGATCTCTTAAGAAATTTGCCACCACTTTCTTTGTCACATGCTTGAATGATTTTGCTTCGACCCACTTGGTGAAGTACTCAATTGCCACCAATATAAATCGATGTCCATTTGAAACAGGAGAGTCAATTGTGCCAATCACATCCATACCCCCACATTGAGCAGGGCCATGGAGCAATCATGCTATGCAATTCGGTGGGAGGAGCACGTATAACATCGCCATGCATTTGACATTTAATACATCTCCGGACAAAGTCTATGCAATCACGTTCCATAGTGAGCCAAAAATACCCGGTTCTCTTGATTTTCTTAGCTAATAAATGTCCATTCATGTGAGGTCCGCAAACACCGCTATGCACTTCTTTCATCATGTATTGAGCTTCATCTTCATCGATGCATCTTAAGAGGTTCAAATCTGAGGTTCTATTGTATAATACCTCTCCATTTAGGAAGAACTTCGAGGCCATTCTGTGCAGGAAACCCTTGTCATTGGCAATAGCTTCTGGAGGGTAAGTCCCGATTTTGATGAATTCCTTAATATCACTGTACCAAGGGTTTTTGCTAGAAGATTTGTCTACGACCCAATAATGAGCAGACTTGTCTTGGAGCTGAATCTGGATTGGTTCGATTTCTAATTCGTCTGGATATTGTATCATAGAAGATAAGTTGGCCAAGGCATCGGCAAATACATTCCGGGTTTGTGGGAGATGTCTGAATTCCAAACTTTGAAATTGTTTAGCCAAATTGAGCAAATTACAATGGTATGGCAAAATTTTTGAGTCTTTGGTCATCCATTGCTTCAACGTTTGGTGCACAAGTAAATCTGAATCACTGAAGGCTATTAACTCTTTAACTTCCATCTCTAAAGCCATTTTAAGACCAAAAATACAGGCTTCATATTCGGCCATATTGTTTGTGCAGGCAAATTGCAATTTAGCGGCTCCAGGGTAATGCTTTCCTTTTGGGGATACAAGAACTGCTCCTATTCCGGCACCGAAAGAGTTAGCCACACCATCGAAAAATAACCTCCATTTAGGGCACCGCTCGCTCATGTCTTTTGCAGCACCAACAAGTAAAACCTCCTCGTCGGGGAAATAAGTATGGAGCGGTTGATAGTCATCATCGTTTGGATTTTCTGCCAAATGATCGGCTATAGCTTGTCCCTTGACAGCCTTTTGCGAAATGAAAACAATGTCAAATTTCGAAAGAATCATCTGCCATTTGGTCAGACGCCCAGTTGGCATCGGCTTCTCCAAGAGGTATTTCAGAGGATCAGAGCGGGATATGAGATATATTGTGTGACTTAGCAGGTAGTGTCTAAACTTTTGAACTGCCCAGGCCAATGCACAGCAGCTTTTCTCAATAAATGAATAATTAGCCTCATATTGGGTGAATTTCTTGCTAAGATAGTAGATGGCTTATTCCTTCCTTCCGGAATCATCGTGTTGCCCCAGAACACAACCTACTGCTCCGTTGAGCACGGATAAGTACATGATCAAAGGCTGGCCCGGTTTGGATGGCACTAGGACTGGATGGTGTAGCAAATAATCCTTAATCTTGTCAAAAGGTTGTTGGCACTCTTCATTCCAATGTAATAGCACATTCTTTTTTAACAACTTGAATAGTGGCTCGCACGTAGCGGTTAATTGGGTAATGAATCTTCCAATGAAATTAATCTTCCCCAAGAAACTTTTCACATCTTTCTGCGTTTTTGGCACTGGCATGTCTCGAATTGCCTTGATCTTTGCTGGGTCTATCTCTATGCCTTTTTTGCTGACAATGAATCCCAACAGTTTACCAGCTGGTGCTCCAAAGGCGCATTTCACAGGATTTAGCTTCAAATTGTACTTTCGCAACCTTTCAAACAACTTTCTTAGATCAATCAAATGGTCTTCTGCTTTCTTGGACTTGATTATAATGTCATCCACGTAAACTTCCATCTCCTTGTGGATCATATCGTGAAACAAAGTAGTCATAGTCCTTTGGTAAGTAGCTCCGGCATTCTTTAAACCAAATGGCATTACCCGATAGCAAAATGTGCCCTAAGGAGTGATGAAAGCAGTTTTTCTCTATTCTCTTCGGTCATTAAGATCTGATGGTATCCAGCGAAACAATCACAAAAAGATTCAATTTCATGTCCGGCAGTGTTGTCTAGAATGATGTGGATGTTTGGCAAAGGAAAGTCATCTTTAGGACTGGCTTTATTAAGGTCTCTATAATCAACACAAACTCGCACTTCTCCACTCTTCTTTGGAACAGGGACTAAGATTCGAGAGCCAAACAGGGTAATGAGATACAATGATAATATTGGTCTTATCTGCTTTTCAATTTGCTCTTTTATCTTGAGGCTCATGTCTGATTTGAATTTACGGGGCCTTTGCTTCACTGGTGGAAAAGTTGGGTCTGTAGGCAATCTGTGAACCACTATATCGGTCGAAATGCCAGTCATATCGTCATAAGACCATGCAAATACATCTTGAAACATAGACAAAAACTCGATCATCTCCTTTTTCTGCTTTTCGTTCAAATGAATGCTAATTTGTATCTCCTTAACCTCAGTCAGTCTCAGTGCCAATGTCAACAACTTCTGTTTCTTCTACGTTCGGTTTAGGTTCCTCCTCATATTGTTCGAGATCTTTTGAGAAAAAATCATATACCTCCCCATTATCACTCTCGTCTTGCAATTCAGATTGCATAATTTCCAAGTCGTGAGTGATATAGAGATTGTCATCATTGGATTCCAGAACAGTGATATCCATAAAGTCAAATAATTTTATTTTTAGCCATCTGAAAGGATTAAGAAATTCAAGGTAATAAGCAAATAATGTGACAGCCCCACCTTACCCTAAGGCGAACCAAAGGGTTCGGCGGACCGCCTGCCCAGCTCTCGCCAGGACTAACGGAACAAATTAGAGCTATCCGTTTCATTCCGGAGCTTACAAACGCGCGTAAACAATCAAAATAGTAAAACAACCCAAAATAAAAATAAAAAAAAATGAAATCCGGAGCCGGCCATGAATAGTAACCGACCCGTCAGAATCCAACCGAAATAGCTAACAAACATTCACATCTGAACTTTAGCGATTACAATCCAAAAGGACATACAAAAGTTTTCAAAAGTTAATACATATACACGGTTTGCCAAATCAAAAGAGAAAACGCCCCAAAAGTACACTTAGGGTTTTAATACATGAGCTATACAAAAGATATGTTCAACTAGCTCAATTTGGCAGCCATTTGTCAAATCCAGACCAAAAGGGTTTATTTTCCTGTAAGGAAAACAAAAAGGAACAGAAAGGGGTGAGCTTGCGCTCAATGAGGTACCAAACATATAGCAGAAAAATCATGGCATTTCACATTTAACAAATCAGATACACATGCCAGATGTAAAGCAAAGGAACCAATGATTCAAATCAGAAGGATACGGGTGGCTCTCAGGAGCCAAATTTCCAGCGCAATACTTGATCCAAACCGGTTGACTCTCCGTCAACGTATATAGAACCAAAACGTCCGTAGACTCCTCTTTACACCGAATTCCGTCCACCAAACACCCCTTTACCGGGCCCGCTCACCTCAAACGAACAAAATGGTAATACTCGAGTATACCCGGAATCAAGGGTCTCAATACCCAAAATCCCCGAACAGACTACCGTGGTTCGTTATCTAATCGTCCAGGCCCTTGCCGGCCCGACTCGAATAACTTAGCCACAGGATTGAGCTCATAGGTCATAGAAATCCGAACAGATGCAAACACAGATAACAGATTCAAATTTTGCATAGTAAATTGGCATATGAACAGACTAGAGAACGAGTGTGATAAAGTACACCCCCGTCTCGAACAAATAAACAGATTGCAGAGCAGAAATCAAGTTAAACAGCAATGGAGGGGAGTGGTACACTCACCGGTTCAACTTCAAAAGTTTTCATTTCAGATTGGCCTTAATCGCCAAAAACCCTAAAATAACAAAATAAACCAATTGAAGGTTTCACATCCATAATGGAGTAAACACAGTGCACATGAGGCTCGACTACTTGTCGTATGCCTCGCCAAATAATTACCAATGCAAGGGTGGAAAACATGATTTTCTTGGAAACAAAAAGGTAACATGAAGACTTAGGCGCAAACAACCCAAAAGCCTTTCATTTCCACCAAAAGGCAAATCCAACTTAAAGGAACCAAACGGCCTATAAAATCGGGCAGCACCTCCCCTAAAATTCTTACTTTTCCAGCCATCAAGGCTTCATTATATCCTCAAATCAGTCCCAACACCTCACACAAAATTCATCTCATTTCCCAAAAGCCGTTCGCTAGGCTCAAAGTGGTACAAGTGCAAAAGTTAGCTAGGAAAAAACCGAAATGAAAGCAAGCCCTAAAAGAGACTCGATAACGAGTCATATAGCCATACCAATTATAACCCTAATAGGGTTTCATATGCATAAATAAGCATCATAGGTAACCAGAAATTAAGAAATGGCTTTAACTTAGGCCTTAACAAAAAAACGTATTTGACCTCATAATGCGGTAATGACACCACTTTCACTACGGTTATCGGATGGGGGTGCAAGACCCACCGTTTCGAAGCTATGAAACAGGGCTACAACAATGTAGAAGGCCACTCAGTCCAAATCCTAGCACAACTAGGCCAAAAATGCAGAATACCACAACCTGAACCGTAATTGCAGGTTCCCAAATCGCACTATGCTGTAATGAACACAACTCAGTCTATACAGGTCCAAATGCCGAAATTCCAAAGGCATATGTTAGCTAAGACATCCAGCTACATTTCATCAGAAGACACCAACTTCAAAATCCAAACCAATTCCAGTCATAACAAACGATTACAAGCGCAGTTTTCACATTCTGAGCAACCCAGACCAGCAACAGTAAAATCGACATACCTCACTCTACACAAATCCAAATGACCTGAAATTTTGCAGGCACTTCAAACTCATCAATACCTACAACTTTTATGTTTTGAGCAAAGTCCAATTCGGCCTCTAACCCTATGACCCAAAACTGGACAGAATTAGGGGTGTATGAACCCTAACCTTTCATTTTTCAATCCAAACTCAAAATTGGTTGCCATTATCATCAATTCACACCTACTAGTGTCATTATAGGTCATTACCAATCATCATAAACAACCACACCATCATAATCCAATTAAACCAGAAAAATCATCAATAAAATAAAAACTTCACCAAATCACTTCAAACCAAGATAAAAACCAGAAATTTCAGCACTTTAGGTCCCATTAGGCACCATTTAAGCATCATTAAGTGAAGTAGGATGTTTAATCATCACTTACCTAGGAAACAAGAGAAGAGGAGTTGTAGACCACCTTAACTCTTCAAGAAAACTTCACCAAACCAACCACTATCACCAACTAGAAAGATTTTATGGAGTAGAAATGGATGTAAGCAAATGTTTTTGGGTGATTTGCACCAAGTAGTAGCTAGAACTTGAAGAGTTTCTTCTTCCTTCCTTGCTCAAGATGGCCGGCCAACAAGAGGTAAGAAAATGGTGATTTTTGTGCAATTTTTAAGATATTTAACCTCTTGGTCAAAAGGTCAAAAATTGGAATAGCAAGTCATAAGCCTTGCCCAATGAAATGGTGACACTTGTCACCTCAATTAATGCATTCCTATCCTTTCTTTTCTCTCTCACATCAATCATTTCACACACTCTACTTATCTCCTAACACCCGATAAATTTTACACAGTATCCGGAATTTAACCTAATTGGCCGAATTTTTCCGAACTTTTCGCACTAGTGGGTCCCACGTCCATTATTCACTCTTAATTTTTCAAAAACTCTCCAATACTAGAAAAATCATCTAAAAACTATAATTACTCATAAAAATTCATCAGGAAAATTTCCTAAGCCAGAAAACGCAGAAAACATGCAATTAAGGGGAAATAAACCCTAGGAAAAGATTAGGGTTTTTACGGGTTCTCACAAATAAGACACGTAAATAAACAAGTAAACGAACAATTGTGACAAAAACTACTTGTGCATTTTCATAAAGCTTCAAATCAAAGTGAAACAAGACAAAAGTCTAATTGCTAAAGATGCTTTCATTAAACTATTTACATATGCAAGAAACAGTTTTCATGAACTTTGGTAAATAACAACCCCCTGTAGATTTACCGAAACTCCTTTCGCACTGGAAAGTACTCGGCGGTCCAGTTGTGTATAGCTCCTTGGGGAATGTCTGGGAATTCGGCATCATCTAACGGACCATCTTCGGATATTGCTCCCACAAACAAATGAGTCAGGCTTGTCTCCACTTCGTCAATTGGGCTAAACTCAGATGTAATGACTTCAGCCGGCTTTAAAAAGGTATAGTGTAGTGGTGGAATGTCTAAAGCACCTAACTTGCCTTCCTTTTCTGCCCTCTTGTGTGCTTTCATCTCTTTTATATCTCTGGCAGTCGGACGGAATCCCAAACCAAATAGGTCATTCTTTTCAATGAGTTCCACGGGCTTCAGAATGCCTTGTAGATTGCGTCCCAATCCCTTATCAAATTCATATCCTCCGCGAATCATCTCCTTGGCCATCATAACACTGGCCGCTGGTAAAACCATTTCGTCTTTTGAATCCTCACTTGTTATCCAACTCACGGAGACAATATTAGTTGTACGGTAAGAAGACACTGAAGCATTTCGGTTACCATCCTTCTCAGGCTTGGAATCGGTAATTACAATGCAATTTTCTTCAACAAAAATGGTTATCAACTGGTCATTCACTACAAATTTCAATACTTGATGCAAGGAAGAGGGCACAGTGCCAGAGCCATGAATCCACGGCCGCCCGAGTAAAACATTATGACACTAGGAAAGTGCATAACTTGGCAGGCTATCTGAAATTGAGCGGGCCCCATTTCGACCACCAAATTTACTTCTCCTATGAACTCCCTTTGGGCTCCATCGAATCCTTGGACTACGGTCTCTGAGGGTCTTAATTTGACATCTTGCAGCTCTAACTTCACAAAAGTGCTCCAGGGACAAATATTGAGGG